TGAGGCGGTTCCACGTGAGAGGTGAGAGGTGCTGGGTGCTGCGCTCCAGGGCGGGCGCGGCGTGGGGTTTTCTCTGCAGCCAGGTGACCAGGCTGCGCAAGCATGTCGCTCCGGAACCGACACGCCGCCTCCTTGCAGAGGCCCCTTCCTCCTGCGAGCGGGCGGCCTCGGGAGCCTCGTCACTTCAGGTTGGACGTCGAGTCATTTCAGTATTTGCTTCTCTTTGTCCAAGGGGGGACCTAGCTACCCGGCGGGCGCGGGAGAGGCGTGGAGTCTGCCCTGCCACCCCCTCTGTCCTGCGGGCATCTGCCCCAACCAAGGCAGCTGTCAAGGTCTTGGACCCTGGGTGGTCTCTTTAAGGTGCGCTTCCATCCCTTTCCAATAGGGTGCGCCCTCCTCGAGACTGAAGCTCCTCAGGAGGCCAGGTCTGAGCCCATCTGAGGCCCAGCGGGACATGGGCTTGTCGGCACGCCCTCCCCGGCCTCTGGCCACCTCTCCCCAGGAGCCGCCTCCCCTCTGTGGCATCAGGGGCACCCGGACTAGCTGGGCCTGTCCACAGGTGCAGGGGTTGCTCCTACCCTCACGTCCCAACTTCCGGGGGGCAAACCCAGCATAGCTGCCCCCTGGAACAGGTCATGTTCTAAGCCCGTCAGCCTCTATCTGTCACAATTCTTTTCCGTAATCATCGTGCAATGAAACAAAGAAGAAGAAGAATAGCCAGAAGAGACAGTGAAAAAATGTTATTAAACTTTACACGCGGAACCACACAAGCAAAACCACAGAATGAAATAAAATATTTCAAAGCACAACTGCTTGCTCAATCGTTTTTCTTCTACCTTACCGTTTGAACTTTGGTCCTTTGGCGATAGCCCGATATAAAATATTTTATAGAAAGAAATGTCCAGTAAACAAAATTTTCCAAAAAAAAAAAAATCAGCCAAATGTATGATCTAGGCAACTACAAAATTGTGCCACGGACATAACATTTTTTCTAAATTTTTCTTTAGTTTTAAAAGTTAATCACTTAAAACTCAAAAATTTCCATTTAAAACTACTATTCAAATTCAGGAAAGTATTTCATATATAAAATGAAATGTTCACTCACCAAGCACAAATGCACCTGACACACAGGAAGAGCCCCAAGGGGCCACATAACATGACATAATGGACGTCATTCAAGTTCAGGTTCTTTATCTTTCCAATCGCTGTGCTTTCGCTGTTTATTTTGAATCCATGATGTAGAGGCAGGAATATGTCAGACCACAGGCATGATAGTCCAAAGTGAGCTGGTCTGATTCTGAATCTTTGTAAACTTCTTTTTTTTAATCCTCACCCGAGGACATTTTTTCATTGGTTTTTAAAGAGAGTGGAAGAGAGAGAGAAAGACAGAAACACCTGTGGTTCCGAGCCTTGGGCTCTGTGCCCTTCAACATGACCTTATGCGCTAGGCCAGCGGTTCTCAACCTTGGCTGCACATTAGAATCACCTGGGAATCTTTTTAAAATCCTGATTTCTGGGCCTCATCCTCCGGAAATTCTGTTTCTTTCTTATGAGGTGGGGCCACAACATTAGTCGCAAAGAAACAATTTCCGGAGGATGAGGCCCGGAAATCAGGATTTTAAAAAGATTCCCAGGTGATTCTAATGTGCAGCCAAGGTTGAGAACCACTGCTCTAGGCGATGCTGGAATCACACCGACCTCTTGTCTTTGGTTTCTTTTGGGGATCCACAGCCTGCTGTTCTAGAAAGTGACTGCGTGCCCTTGCTGGGGTGGCTCAGTGGATAGAGCATCAGCCTGCGGACCAAAGGGCCCCAGGTTTGATTCCAGTCAAGGGCAGGTACCTGGGTTGCAGGCTCCTCCCCAGCCCGGGCCCTGGTTGGGGCTCATGCAGGAGGCAACCAGTCGCGATGTGTTTCTCTCTGTCTTTCCCTCGCTCTCCCACTCTCTCTAAGAATCAATGGAAAAATATCCTCGAGTGAGGATTCAAACAAACAAACAAATAGGAAATGACTATGCATTTGAGGTGCCTCGAAGGTCTACCAAGGAACCTGTGCTCTGGGCCACGAGCCCGTCCACGCGTGGCAAGGAGCTGTGACTGGACCTAGTGTCTGGTTCTGTCTGTGGAGCCCACAGTTACCCTCCAAGGTCACTCAGCTATTGGCAGGGACAGGCTTCCGTGGAGTCGGGTCAGGCCCCGCAAATCACGTGTGGAAACTACCAGCCTGCGTGGCTCCGGCCTCTGGGGCCGCAGTAACCTCTGCTCACCCCGGGGACACTCTAGGATCGCTGATTTCCTCTCCTAGGAGGGAGTTAGTAGTTTCCCAGTTTCCACGTGGCCTTTTCCGCTGCGAAAGCTCTCAGCCCACAGGCCAGGGAACCCATGCGGGGGTTCTGCATGCCTCCAAGTATGTCCAATCCCATTCTCACGCAGGGGCTGGGAGATCATCGTTCTGTGCGTGTGGACCCCGTAGAGCTGCGGAGTCGGGCTTCCGTCAGTTACGCTGAGGTAGAGGTCAAAGCGGGCGGATACGTATGAGAATCCTTCTTATTCAAAGTACATTTTTGAAAACGGTTTATTTAGTCATTTGCTCTCTCACCGTTGACATCTTACAGTATTTTGAAATTTTATTTAGTCCTTGTTTAAACTTTGAGTTCAGAAACAGAGGGGAAAGTATCCCTCGCTCTAAAGCTTGCCACTACAAGTTAACTGTTTTTATCATTTTGGTGAATAGTTTTCTGGTTTTCTCCAATAATTTGTTAAGGTTTTGCCCAACAGTCGCTTTAAATAAGTATGATTCAGATGGCCTGTCTCTAAATGTCTGGCATTTGCTTTTACTATTCAGAACATTTTGTATCCCAAGATTTTGTAGCCAAGCTTTCTACTGAAAATTATGGTTCATTTTTTTGCCAATTAACTTTTTATTAAAGTAGAATATTGGGGAGGTTAGGGTATGAGGTCACATTAGTAGTCATTTATTTTTTAATATTTAGTTATGCTATTTGTTGCTTGAGCCTTTATTTTTCCAGTGATCTCTGATACCAAAATTCCATAGTAGATGTTACATCCACTGCGGTCTGTTTCTGGACTTCCTCTGATGTGTAAATACATCTGCTACTACTGTGTTGACTGTTGCTGCTATGATAAAGTCTAATGTATGCTGCTTGAAACACTGGGCAGCCCCTCACTCATGATCCTCTTTTTTTAAAGCACCTTGTTCATTATTAACTAGAGGCCCAGTGCACGAAATTCGTGCACGGGTAGGGTCCCTAGGCCTGGCCGACAATCAGGGCCGATCTGCGGGGTGACCGGCTGGACAATCAGGGGGCCCCCATTGGCACCCGCTTTGGCTGGCCTGGGGCCTGCAGGCTGGGGGCAGCTCCTGCATTGAGCATCTGCCCCCTTGTGGTCAGTGCGTGTCATAGCGACCGGTCATTCCACCATTTGGTCAATTTGCATATTAAGCTTTTATTATATAGGATTTCTAAATAAATTTGTAAACTCTTTTTCAAATTCTTCCAAAAGTAAATGGTTTTTCATTTTGATTAATTACTCCATCAACTACCAAGTAATTGGAACACAATCAATTGTTTTCAATATGATTCTATCTTTCTATCCAGAACCATGCTAGGGATCGACATGCATACACATATTTTATAATGATTTCTTTAAGAATATAATGAGTTTTCTCAAACTTCTTTGTATAATTAATCACAGGTATTCTATACATAGTTATTTAGGACTGCAATTGTCAGATTGTCAGTGGGATCCATCTTTTTCATTATATCTTTTAATTTATTTATTTCCCAACGTTTGCCAACACCTAGGCATGATCCCATCCCCTGCCCTCCCCCTTTTCCTGGATTAGCAGTCCGTTCCTGGAATTCCTTAAAACTGGGTCACTTTTATGAAGGTGTCTTGCTGGTCTGCTTTTCTTGAGCCTTTTCTCCTGGAACAAACACAATGAAAACAGCAAACAAACACAAAACATTAAAAAACATATATGTTGTGTATTCTTTAGAGCAAGCTAATCCTTGACCCACCTTGGCCCCTTTGATGAAAACCATGACCCCTACCCTAAGGATCTGAGTAAATGTTATGAAGAAAGAGGCCAAGTTCCCAGGGCAGGATCTGGGAAGACAGCTTACACACATGACATTGGCCAAAGGGACTTGGAAAAGGCAAGGAAAGTATGCAAAACCTTACAAAAAGTCCTTCCCAATCCTCGATCGTCTACCATGCCAACATCTGCCACCCCCTTTCCTCTTTGCTCAGCACTTGCATTCCCAGTGATGACCAGATGGTCTGACTGTCAAAGGCAGCCCTCCCTCCCTGAGAAAGGGGCATCTGTGTGTGTGGGGGTGAGGGGGGGGGCTCTGTCCTCTCCATGACTCCCTCAGATTCTTCAGGGACCAGGGCGTCCACGGTCCTCCAGGAACCAGCCATCCCAGAGCGCTCGCTGTGCTCACGGGGCCCAGGGCTGCCAGGGGGCTGAGATGAGAATCTGGTGTTTGGATCTGTGCATGGTTGTGAAACACCTTCAAGTGGGGGTGTCACACCAGGGCCTACTGGTGCAGGCTGGGCAGAGCTGGTCTGTGTGACCTGGGAGCCTTGGGGGAGTCAGAGGTCACTGCGGGGAGGGACAAGGCATCGACCCAGTGGAAACTGTCCTGGTCTGAACCCGCCTGGAGGACGGTGGCCCTGTTTTGTTTTGCCTTCCCCGTCACGGACCCGTGGCGCAAGCTCCCCTAAGAGCCAGCCCGCGGTCACTCACTCCTTTTCCACGTCCTGGATGGAGTCGGGCAGCGGCTGATTCCTGGTCTCGGGAAGGAAGAAGACGACAAGGCTGGGGACGAAGGAGGAGACCGCATAGAGGATCCAGGGCAGGTGCGGAGAGTACACCACCAGGATCATCAGGAGGGGAGCCATGGCCGCCCCGATGTTACCGGCCATCGCAACGATTCCGGAAGCTGTGGCCCTTGGCGTGCAAACAGCAATGCAAAAGTCATCTGGTCAAAACCCACACATGTCATTTGTGATTTCTCATTTCGCTTTGATTGTGGGAGACAGCACAGCAGTGTTTAGATACCGAAGGTTGACAATATACTACTCCATCTCAAATACTCTCTCTTATTTGCTTGCAATGTTCTCCAGTACACAAGTGCATCAAGCCATTTTCATTATTTAAAAATTATTCTCACCCATAGCAACTACCTTTTAGTGGTTCAGGAGAACATGTGAGATGATATGATACATTAAAGGACTTAACCCAGTGCCTAGCAAAAAGTCAGCCGTAAATAAACCTTACCTATAAATTATTGTTGCTAGCCCGGGTGGCATGGCTCAATGGTTGAGTGTCAACCTATGAACCAGGAAGTCACGGTTTTATTCTCTCTCAGAGCACATGCCCTCGTTGTGGGCTCAATCCCCAGTAGGGGGCATACAGAGGGCAACCCATCAATATTCTCTCTCATCATTGATGTTTCTCTCTCTCTCTCTTTCCCTCTCCCTTCCTCTCTAAAATCAATAAAAAGATTTTTTAAATAAATAAATTGCTGTGGTGATGGCTTGTTTTGATGACTAATCAGTCCAGTTTGCTCCCCACTGTAAATGTTCACTAGCCGGGAAAGGTCTGCTTGACCCTGGTGGGGCTTCGGTGAGTCGTGTACCTGATGACGGTGGGGATTAGCTCGTTTCCGTCCAGAGAGCATGAAGGTATGGTGTGGGGCTTGGACCCCCCTCCTCCCTCCCCACACACACACAGCTGAGATATTCCTCCTTATTTAAAAAAAAAAACACCACACATGGCTGTCGGACCAGCCTGTTCAGCGCCTCCACCCCTCCTACCAATCTCAATGTGATTTTTTCTCTAGCGGTAGGATTTCCATTCAGCCAGATTGCAGGAGCTTCAGAATGATGGTTGTTCTGTATTTTAGTTGCAATTTTGATGTGGTTGTGGGAGGTGGTGAGTACTGTGTTTACCTACATTGCATCTTGGCTCTCTATTTTCTGTAGTTTTAATGGAGCTAAAAGCCAGTCATTGACAAGACAAAACACATTTTACTTTTACTGCTTACATGGCCAAATAGCTGGGGCTTAAAGCTGCACCATTGGTTAGGCTAAAGCCGTGGTCGGCAAACTGTGGCTCGTGAGCCACATGCGGGTCTTTGGCCCCTTGAGTGTGGCTCTTCCACAAAATACCACGTGCGGGTGCACACGTACAGTGCGATTGAAACTTCGTGGCCCATGCGCAGAAGTCGGTTTTCGGAAAGGAGATGGACGAAACAAGTATACAAGACGAGTGTGGATGGGAGAGTTGGAAGGGGTCGACCTCAGGGAACGTACCTCAATCAGATTGAGGATGTTTTTAGCAAAGGCCAGCTTAGGAGCACCCTCATTAAGTTAATAACAATGTACCTACCTATATAGTTTAAGTTTTAAAAATTTGGCTCTCAAAAGAAATTTCAATCGTTGTATTGTTGATATTTGGCTCTGTTGACTAATGAGTTTGCCGACCACTGGCCTAGAATAATATTTGAAGACTCGAGAATAAGGACCACGTTAGGCGACAGAAATAGCCAGGCTTTGGAAACCTCTGAAAGGACATGTTGGAGCCAGTTGTCTACTCAGTTTAAAACAAAACACCGTCTCATGAGAGCGTTACGTCCGAGTGGGCTGACACTCGAGGCGAGGGAAGCCCAGGGTCTGGGACCCTGTGAAATACGTCACATTCTCTTCACTGGGGTTAGTGAAGCATGGGACCCCTGGTGCCCCTCTCTGTGACATGTGCTCATTGAGTTTGGTGAGATCGAGTCTCAGAGAGGCTCTCACTGCTTGGAGCCTGTTCCTGGTGTCCACTCCTCTGCGTGAAGCCGAGGGGCCTCCCCGGGCACAGCTGTGACACACGGGTGCACAGACGGAAGTCGGGAGTGGGTGGGCCTGACGCTGGAGTCATAGAAGGAGCCCAGACAGAGGGAAGGAGAGCGCTGTGTCAGCACATGAGACACAAATACCGCCGTTTACAGCTGCACGTGTGATTGGCCAAGGGCAAGGCATCATGGCTCTCGTAGAGACATGGTCAGGAATGAATGACACCAATCACTGGGCACTTCTCAGTGTCGATGAAGGCAGCCTGGTATCTGAACTGACATCTGTGACCTCTGACTCCTCCCAGCCACCTGCTGGCAGGATCTGTCCTCAATCCTGAGATTGGGTTGGGGAAGCCACTAGAACGCATTCTCCCTTTCCGAATGGCCTCACAGAGGTGTGAGTAGGTTCCCCAGGAAAAGGGGGGAGACAGTTCCATTCTTCAACCTGCGCCCCTTTCTCACCTTGAGGCACAAACGTGATGGCCAGGATGAAGCTCCCCAGCAGGAGCAGGAAGAGCATCTGGCTAAGCCGCCGGCCCAGGCGATTCATGGCCAACAGTGCGACGTAATTGGCCGGGAGGGTGATGGCGCCAAAGAGAACCTGGAACAGGAACACGTTGCTCCCCAGGTACTGGAGGTGCAGGCTCAGGCCGTAAAAGGGTAAGACGTTTGCAAATCTGTGGTGAGCAAAAGAAGAAAGATAGATGGCTTCAGGTTTAGAACCTGCAAATGATGGTGAGAAATATTGTCAGCCAAGCAGCCGGCGGTTGGTGAGAAAGAATGAAGGCATCGCCCGGCCGTGGTGGCTCAGTGGTTGAGCGTCAACCTATGAACCAGGAAGTCAGGGTTTGATTCCCAGTCAGGGCTCCATCCCAGTGTGGGGCGTGCAGGAGGCAGCCGATCAATGATTCCCTCTCATCATTGATGTTGCTCTCTCTCTCTCTCTCTCTCCCTCTCCCTCCCCCTCTGAAATCAATAAAAATGTTTTGTTTTGTTTTAAAGAATGAAGACATGGTGGGTTCTGTAGAATATGTCTTTGCAGGGTCATGATTTTAAAACGTCATAAAATATTGTCTGCTGATGGGGCTCATAATTGTTATAAGTGTTTCAGGAGGTGGCGAGTGTTGTGCTTGCGGGTACGTGGTGGGGCCTTCTAGGGCAGTGATTCCCAAAGTGGGCGCTACCGCCCCCTGGTGGGCGCTGCAGCGATCCAGGGGGGCGGTGATGGCCACAGGTGCATTTGTTTTAACTTTTTTTTTGTATTACCTTTCTATTCTGAGTTCAAATAGTTTCATCATCATTTCAAACTTCAATGTTTCTAATTTACACCTTTCTTTACTATATTTTACGAAAACGGTAGAAACATTAATACATATATCTTTCTGTTTAATTGCTATTAAAATTTTTAAAAAATTAATTTCCAGGGGGCGCTGAGTAATATTTTTTCTGGAAAGGGGGCGGTAGGCCAAATACGTTTGGGAACCACTGTTCTAGGGTTTTCCAGTCCTTTCCACATCCCGATCTGGGTGTGGCTGCTCATTTACATGTGTGCATACTCACAGAGCGGTGTTGCTCGTGTGCTTTACTGTTTGTAGTTTTACCGAAATTACCATAGAAACAAACAAGGGAAGAAACTTAAAATCAAAACCTGTGCCACGACTGAGGCTCCCAGCCTCAGTTCCCATGATGAGCCCGGTGGGGCCACGTGACAGACAGCACTCGTCATTGGGCAGTCAGTTCCGTGTCCGCCTTTTCATAGCTCTCCGACTGTCTCTGAACAAGGCAGTATTCCCTACGGCTTCCTCGTGTGTTATCCCGACTCTGTTCCTAGGCACGGTGTGTCCTCTGAGGGCCCCGGGGCCCCGCCTGCGCTACTGCGCATTCCCCGCGCACGCTGGGAAGCCTACCGCACACAGGACAGGAGGCAGACCCTCTCACGCATGTTGGGCGTGCGGAACAGGTCGGACACGGGGGGGTTGGTCTGCGCGGCCTCCAGCTCCTCCTGCATGGTGGACCTCAAAACCTTCAACGACAGCAACAGCACCCCAGTCAGTCGGCACAGCGCTGTGGGCGGAGGGCAAGATGGACCCTCCCCGCTTTGTCTACGGAAAATACGGCCACACGGATGCACGGACAGAGGGAAAAGGTTGGGGAAGGGGAGTCAGGGAGCTCAAGAGGCCTTGAGGAAATTGTGGAGCCACCAAGACATTAGGCATGAGATTCGACGGTGCTGCACAACATCCGAAACGGTGTGCATATTAGACATTCAGGTCAGGGAGGGCAGCGAGGCAGGTACCGGGTCGTGGCCCAAAGCCCCACTGATGCCAGACGGACAGGAAAGACCTGGGAGCTGAGCGTGGGGCTCGGCTGGCCGTCCTTTGCACACACTGTTTGTCTCGGGAGAAAAGAGCATTTCCTGAGTCTATGTTGGTTTCTCCCTCAGTCTCAGATGGAAACACAAAAGACCCTAAATAGTCACAGCACTTTTTTGAGCATAAAAATGCTGGAGGCATCATATGTTCTGATTTCAAAATATATTACAAAGCTCCAATCACCAAGAATGTGGTACTGGCATAAAAATAAACATGTAGACCAAGGAAGCAGGATAGAGAGCCCAGCGATAAACCCATGCGTACACAGTTGACTGATCTCTGATCGTGGCAACAAGAATTGACAATGGAGATAGAAGAGTGTCGCCAATAAATGGCGCTGGGAAACCGGATATCCACAGGCCAGGGCGTGACATTGGAAAGTTACCTGACACTCACACAAAACTCAACTCCGAATGGGCTAAAGACGAACATGTACGACCTGAGGCTGTAAGATTCCTAGAGAAAACTTCTTGGTATTGGTCTTGGCAATGAGTTCTTGGTTATGACACCGAGAGCACAGGCAACAAGCAAACATAGACAAGTGGGACTACAGCCAACGGAACATCTTCCGCACAGCGAGGGACAATTAACAAAATGGAAAGGCGCCTGCGGAACGGAGGAAATATTTACAAACTGTGTGTGTGATAAAGGGTTCATGTCCGAAATACATAGAGAACTCCTACCATTCAAGAGCAAAACAGCCAAATAACTGAACTTAAAAACGGGCATGCGAACGAAACAGACATTTCTCCAAAGACGACACACAGACGGCAAACGAGTACATGGAAAGGTGCCCATCGTCAGCAATCGTTCCGGAAACTCAAGTCAAAACCACAATGAGCCGAAACCGGTTTGGCTCAGTGGATAGAGCGTCGGCCTGCGGACTGAAATGTCCCAGGTTCGATTCCGGTCAAGGGCATGTACCTGAGTTGCGGGCACATCCCCAGTAGGAGATGTGCAGGAGGCGGCTGATCGATGTTTCTCTCTCATCGATGTTTCTAACTATCTCTCTCCCTTCCTCTCTGTAAAAAATCAATAAAATATATTTTAAAAAAAACACAAAATGAGGTACCACTTCACACCAGTTAGGATGGTTATTAAAGAGACAGTAAGAGTTGGCGAGGGCGTGGAGGGTAGGATGCCCTGTGCCGTGCTGGAGGGAATGTGAAATGGCGTGGCCACTAGGGAGACAGCATGGAGGTTCCTCAAAACATTAAAATTAGAACTATCATAGGATCCCATAATTTCTCTTCTGGGCATCTCTCCAAAAGAGCTGTGAAGAGGATCTTGAAGAGAGATTTGCACACGCGTGTTCATTAGAGAACTAGTCGCAAAAGCCAAGCCATTGGAAACAACCTAACTTCCCATCAATGGACAAGGAAAATGTGGTAAAAAGGATATCATTCATTCCTAGGAAACCCTGCCCTGGCCGGTGTGGCTCAGTGGAAAGAGCGTCGGCCTGAGGACTGAAGGGTCCCGGTTCGACTCCGGTCAAGGGCACATGCCCAGGTTGCAAGCTCGATCCCCAGTAAGGGGTGTGTAGGAGGCAACCGATCAATGATTCTCGTCATTGATGTTTCTATCTCCCTCTCCCTTCCTCTCTGAAATCAATAAAAATATTTTTTAAAGGAAAGGAGGTCCTGCCATTTGCTGCAACATAGCTAACCCTGAGGACATCTTTTAAGTGACCCCTACACAAGCTCTATGACGGTGAGTGACTGCCTCTGTGGGGGGGCAGCACCTGCGTCCAATTCTTCCAGCAGCAGCATAGTTCCTGGGTGTTCACTCAAACAGCACTGACAGCCCTTGGGGACCAGGAACGTTGGGTAAAATGATGGGTATTCCCGCCCTTCGTTCATCGCATGGACACCATCCAGGGTACATACATGTCAGCTCATGTCTTCCCTGCACCCCATAACCAGCTCCCTTTCCTGTTCACCTCCATGGTGAGGGTGTCGCCAGCATTCTTTCTTCCATTCATGTGGGCAGCTTTTCTAAGTTCCTTTAAGCCCTCCTCCGGTTTGTTGGTGATAATCAGCCACCGAGCAGACTCCGCCAACCACCTGGTCAGAGAGGACGACAGGGGAGCAACCACGGCTCGCTTGCCCCTTTCCCACATCCTTGGTCCTGCAATGCCTCTCCCTCCCCCTCTAATACCTACCTCCTGCCTTGTTATACCGGGGAATGGGGACTTAGGTCCTCCTGTACCGAAACTAGGAAACTGGGAGGATGCCCTCTCCACGCAACACACCTTCACGGCTGGGGACATAGAGTAGGAGTCATATTGGGCCCCCCCTACATCCCAGGGAATAGAATCCGTTTTAGCAAATAAAAAGGCTGTGCCTCGTTGAATGCTGTTAAACTGTAAATGCGAGTAACTGTCAAGTGTAACTACATCCCGGGTGATCTTTTGGACATACACGAAAATACATTTCTTATTTGACATTTTACTTGCATGAGACACCCTGTATTTCATCAGGTTTGGAAACGAAAATGCAGACCTCTCAGATAAACAGAAATTGTATATAAACAATGCATCATGTTTAGGGTCAGCGTACACCATGCAACGTTTGGGATGTTATACAAAAAGGAATGTTGCTTATCTGAAATTCACTTTTTTTTTCCTTTTTGAAATTCAAATTTAACTGAGTGTCCTTGGTTTACCTGGCAACCCTGCCTGTCCTGCCCCCCGATTGTGCACAAGGCACAGATCAGGAGAGCACATGCTCGAGTGTTGACTAAGGACCTGGCCACATTCTGTGTCCTTATTCTGTGAGCCCGCACCCCAGGGTCCTTAAGACAAAGGAAGAGAGACAACTGATACCTCGAGGAAAGAAACAAGACAAATAGCGGTAGAGAGTACACCAGCTGGAGGGTGTGCCAGTCGCGGATGGCGAAGGCCATTCCTCCCAGGAGCAACTGCCCCACGCAAGCAGCACCGATGGTCGTAGTCATCCCCAGGGCTTGGAACCGGGGCGCGGTCCACTCTACAACTGAAAGGAAACACAAACAGGGTTTTGACTTCAAACAAAGTTTGGATTCCATGTGCCGGGCCAGCACGGCGAAGGGTGAACCTGAGGAGAGGAGGTGAAGGATTGAAGAAAAGACAGACAAGAGAATACAGCTGGGGCTTGGTGGATCTCCCGTGCCTGGATGAGGACACAAAAGACCCAGCCTGCAAGCCAATGCTTTATTTTATAGTCTGATTAAAACAAGGGTAGATTAACTTGTATACAAATGTTCTTGTTTTGGCAACACTTGCTGCACCTCCCACAGCCCATGAGCTACTTAGGAAGGAATTAGGGAGGGCTACAAGGTCAGGCTTAATTATGCTAGGAGAGCTCTGCCCTCCAGGCTGGGACTTGTTTGTGGCCCTGCCCCAGGTCAGCCCAAGGCTTGACCCTAGAGCGGCTCCCTACAATTCCAGAGTCAAAAGTAGGGCTTGAAAAATGTCAAAGACCCAACGTTTGTACTCACTGAGCACAAAGCTGTTGTTGAGGATGCCCATGGTGGAGAAGCCGGCCAAGAAGCGCAGCGCGCAGTAAGCGAGGAGCAGGGGCACAAAGGCCGCGCAGGTCTCGGCGATGGCGAGCGCGAGGGAGCACCATCGGAGAATTGGCCTCCTCCCAAACCTGAGGCACAGGGACAGGTTAGATGTGGGCATGATAACATGTCACAAAAATCATCACAAAGAAGGCTTCTTCTGACGCTTAGGCGATGTTTCAGTAAGTGAAACTTTGCACTTGAAACCAGGAAGAATCAACAATACTAGTAGATTATCTCAGAAGCAGCCCTCCTGTTTGCAAATAGATACTGAGTACAGGAAAGCGGATTCTCCCATCTGTTGCCAGTGGAACTTTGAGATCAATGAAACCATGTAAGACAGCTGTAACACCATAGTCCTCTTTTAGCCCAGGTTTTGCTTTGCATGGTTTCAGTCACCCACGGTCAACCACAATCCAAAAATATTAAATGGAGAAAGAAGAACAAAGTTGGAAGAATCACGCTACCTGACATCAAACTATACTACAAGGCCATCGCAATCAAAACAGCAAGGACTAGCATGAAAACAGACATCTATGACAATGGAACAGAATAGAGAGCCCAGAAATAAACCCACGCCTCTATGGTCAATTAATATTTTACAAAGGAGGCAAGAACGTACAATGGAGTAAAGACAGTCTATTCAATAAATGGTGCTGGGAAAATTGGACAGATCCATGCAAAAAAACGAAACTAGACCACCATCGTACACCATATACAAGAATAAACTCAAAACAGATTAGACTTAAATGTAAGACTCAAAACTATAAAACTCCCAGGAGAAGACATAGGCAGTGAAATCTCAGACATTCCTCATAAGTAATACTTTGTCTGATATATCTCCTCCGGCGAGGGAAACAAAAGGAAAAATAAACAAATGAGCCTCCATCAAACTAAAAAGCTTTTTGCAGAGGAAACCATCAACAAAATGAAAAGACAGCCTACTGAATGGGAGGACATATTTGCCAATAATGATAAGGGTTCACATCCAAAATGTATCAAGAGCTCATGTGCGGGGCCCAGAAAGCCGCAGGATGGCGTAACCTGTCATATGTGCTTCTCACGGGAGAGTGATGCGTGGAGATGCCCCCGAGTCAAGGGGCTGTGACTAGGGACACTCACCTGTCTGATAAGTGGCCGTAGATGGCCCCTCCCACCAGCATGCCCGCCATGAACGAGAACTTGGCCATTGATTTCAGCGTCTCAGCTTCACATACCAGGTCCCACTGGAAGGGAAGGAAACCATCTCAGCAGAGCTTCACAGCCACCTGCTCCCCTCGGCAGAGACCTGACTGAAACAGCTTCGGGGACTTGCATGTGTCGATACAGCAGAGCCTTCTTCCTCTGCAGCTTCCTCTCCAGCTGCCTCTCCAGCTGCCTCTCCAGCTGCCTCTCCAGCTGCCTCTCCAACTGCCTCTCCACCTTCCTCTCCAGCTGCCTCTCCACCTTCCTCTCCAGCTGCCTCTCCACCTTCCTCTCCACCTTCCTCTCCAACTGCCTCTGCAGCTTCCTCTCCAACTTCCTCTCCAGCTGCCTCTCCAGCTGCCTCTCCACCTTCCTCTCCAGCTGCCTCTGCAGCTTCCTCTCCAGCTGCCTCTGCAGCTGCCCTTTGTTATCAGATCTCAGCTTAAACATAACTTCCTCTGGGAAGCCTCCTCTAAACCTGTTGGCTATATTAATGCCTTGGTTTATTTCATACTCAGTAGTTCTCAATCTTGGCTCCATTGTGCAATCGTTTGAGAAGCTTTAAACTTACTGCCCTGGCTGGTTAGGCTCAGTGGATAGAGCATCAGCCTGTGAACTGAAGGGTCCCGGGTTCGATTCTGATAAAGGGCACATGCCCGGGTTGCAGGCTCAATCCCAGTGTGGAGCGTGCAGGAGGCAGCCGATCCATGATTCTCTCTCATCATTGATGTTTCTCTCTCTCCCTCTCCCTTGCTCTCTAAAATCAATAAAAATATATTTTAATAAATAAATTTACTGATGACAGAATGTCACCACAGACTTTCTCACACGGCTGTTTCAGCCGTACAGTCTGTGGTTGGAGGACCATCAACTTCCCAGATGTTTCTAATTTTCAAGCAAGGCTGGGCATCTCCGAGCTTGCACAACATTGTAAACACATTACATACATGAATTGCTTCACCTTTAGTCTTCCTATTTAAAACAAAGCTATGCACTAGCAAGGTCACGGCTAATTTGGAGTTCATCACGCTCAGTAAGCATGTAGGAGTCTGGCATGGAATGGAGTCATTCATACTTGCTGAAGGAAGAAGGAACGGGCCCCTACCTGGTGACATCACTCGCTTATCCCTCAACTCCCAGACCGCGGACCCGCCAGAGGTGGACGGGGCCTCTCACCTGGGTCACGATGGTGGAGGAGAAGGTGCTCCGGTCATACACCCAGCCGTCCACACAGGGCTCCGTGTCCGGCTCGCTCGCGTTGGACAAGGTTCCATTCGGGTGAAGGAGCTGCCACTGGGGGTGGAGGAAGCGGCGGCACTTCTCCGGCCTCCGGTCCGAGTCCAGCGGGATGGAGACCCGCAGCAGGGCGTCCGGCCCGAGGGCCCCCGAGCCATTGGCCCAGCCGGTGTTGTTGTCGAGGATGGGGACCCAGCAGCGGTGCGCGGGCGCCGCGGCGGTGAAGTTCTCCAGGAGGATGTGCGGGAACACCAGGAAGCAGGACAGGCAGAGGAGCACCAGCTGGAGGAGCTGGAACCGGCCCAGGCCGCCCACCACGTCCAGCAGCGTATGAAAGGCCATCGTGGGGCGACAGGCGAGCCCCGAGGCGAGACAGAACGACTGCAGTTAGAAAAGTTCAAAGAGGGAAGAGCCTTCCTCTCAGGGGGGCACATGGAGTGTGCCCCGATCCGGACCCCGCGCTCTCGCTCTCCGCAACGGGCCCAGCAACACTCCCTCCAAGTTGTCTGAGGATCGGCCGGCTGCTGTTTTCTTGAAAGTTCAAGAGGAATGATTAGCTGAGATAGTGCCATCCGCTGGCAATCCGCACCGTTTCAAGGTCTACGTGGTGAAAGGGATTTCATCAGCAGTGCCCCGAGGCAGCACTGGACTCTGCCCCCCACATCTGTGCACAAATCAAACAAACCCATCGTGGTTGGCAGACCTCACACGTCACTGGGGGACTCCGCAGTGAGATGCTTTCTATGTTTTCTGTGAAACATCCTGAAAGGAAGTGCTTGGCTTGCATTTTGATGAGAAGAGTTAATGAAAACCACCCCGAGTTCAGTTAAAGCAAACGAAACATGGGGCAACCCTTCCCTCGGGGTGGCGACGTCCGGCTTCCAGTCCAAGCAAGCCACGAATTCACTTTGACAATAAGTTACTCAAAATGGGGCAGAGTGGGCAGTGACGGGGGGCGGAGGGCGGAGCCAGTGGTAAGAGGCTTATTTTTGCAGCTTATTGATTCATCCGGAGGGCACTTGTGAGCTCGCTTTCTGTTCTGGGAAGGCAGCCACGTGCAGGACAAGGTCTTCAAGGCTCTTACGCTACAGTGAGCTAGGGAGAGGCCGGTAATGACTACACTTCGATTGTAAAACATACGGTAAGTGCATGTGCGCTGTGGAAGAACTGAAGAGAAAATATTGGTGGGGGGGGTCACCTTTGTTAGTACTAAACCTTCCATTAAAAATTCCTTTTCTGCCCCGTCGGCGTGGCTCAGTGGTTGAGCATCGACCTATGAACCAGGAGGTCACAGTTCAATTCCAGTCAAGGGCACATGCCCGGGTTGCGGGCTCGATCCCCAGTGTGGGGTGTGCAGGAGGCAGCCGATCCATGATTCCTTCTCATCATTGATGTTTCTATCTCTCCCTCTCCTTCTTCCTTCCTCTCTGAAATCAATAAAACTATTTTACAAAAAAAAAAAATTCTTTTTCTGAAGCCTTATTGATGCAATTCACTCTTTAAAACGCACAACGCCGTGGGCCTTCGACATTCCGAGTTGTGGATCCATCACCCCTCTGTCATTCCAGACATTTTCATCACCACAAAAGAAACCTGTACTCATCAGGAGTCACACCCCATTTCCCGCCCCACCCCCACCTCCTATCAATAATATTGACATCTTCAAAGATCTACCTTTTGATTACATTGATTTTCTATATTGATTCCCTGTTTTCAATTTCATGGGGTTTCTGGTCTAATTTTTATCTTTTCTTTTCTTCAGCTTCTTTTCATTTAACTTGCTCTTTTTCTAGTTTCTTAAAATGGAAGCTTAGCTTAATGATTTTAGATCTTCCTTTTTGTCTAATATATGCATCGATGCTGTAAATTTCCCTCAAACATGACTACACAAAGTCCCGCAAATTTTCATAAGCTGCATTTTCAATTTCATGTAGTTCAAAGTATGTTTAAGTTACTCTTGAGAGCTCTCCTCTGACCCATGTGTTATTTAGTAGTGTGTTGTGTAATCTCCGAGTATTTGGGGATAGTCCAGCTATGTTTTCCTGGTTGATTTCCAGTTAAATTCCACCGCTGTGTGAGAGCGTACATTATATATAGTATCTATATTTAAAAACGGCTAAGGTGTGTTTTATGGCCCAAAATATCTTGGTGAATGTTCCATATGAACTTGAGAAGAATGTATATTCTGCTATTGTTGAATGAAGCGGTCCGTAAATGTTAATTAGACATTTGGTTGAAGGTGCCTGCTGAGTACACCTACGGCCTTACCTATTCTCTGCCTGCTACGTCTATTTCTTATAGAAGGGTATTGAAGTCTGCAACTGTAATAGTGGATTCACCTATTTCTCCTTGCCGTTCTATCGGGTTTTTTGAGTTTTTTAATATATATTTTATTGATTTCAGAGAGGAAGGGAGAGGGAGAGAAATGGAAACATCAATGATGAGAATCATTGATCGGCTGCTTCCTGTATTCCTCCTACTGGGGATCAAGTCCACAACCCAGGCATATGCCCTTATTGGGAATCGAACCATGGCCTCCTGATTCATAGGTTGATGCTCAATCACTTTTTACCTCACATATTTTGATGCTCTGCTGTTTGGTTCATACACGTTAAGGGTTGTTGTGTATTCTTGGAGAATTCTCCAGTTCTTCTCTCCCTGATCTTCATGTTTCTTAATCTCTATTGCTCTATCTTCACAGCCATTCTTTTTTGAGACACTTAGTGGATTTATCACTTCAGCAATTGTGCTTTTCAAGCTACAAATTTTCAAGCGGTTCCTTGTATAATATCTGTCTCTCTATTGACATATTTTATTTGACAAGTACTGCTTATCATGCCTTCCTTTAGTTCTCAAACCTGTTTTTGCAACATTTAATAACTGCTTTGGAGTCTTTATCTGCTAAGCCTAATGCCTGGGGAAACTTTGAAATGACAATAATTATCTAATTTTAGACCATTTTCATCACCCCAACAAGAAACACCATTGCTATTAGCATTCAATCCCAATTACCTCCATCCAAACTCTGGCAACCAATGATACAAGTTCTGCCTGTATGCGTTTGTCTGTTCCTAAAAGAAATAAATCTCTTCAGAGCCTTTCCACTGATTTTGGTTTGATGTTTGTCCTTAATTTGGGGAAATGCTCGGCCATCATTACTTTAAATATTTCCACGACTCCTTCCCCGTTCTTCTCCTTCTGGTAGTCCCATTACACGCATACTACACCTTTTGTGCTTGTCCCCAGTTCTTGAATGCCCTGTTACATCTTTTCATTATATTTTCTCTTTGTATTTCAGTGTGGACGGTTGCTATTGACACATCTTCAAGCTTACAGATTCTTTTCTTAGCCATGTCTAGTCTACTTTTCAGGCGTTCATTTCTATTACAGAGTTTTTGATTTCTAGCATTTTCTTTTGGTTCCTTCTTAGAATTTCCAACTCTCTGCTATATTACTTTCTGTTCTAGCATATTATCCACTTTTCCCTTTGGGGCCCTTTGCATATTACTCATAGTTACAGTATTTTAAATTCCTGGTCTGGTAATTCCAAATTCCACGGCATATCTGAGTCTGTCTCTGATGTTTGCTTTGTCTCTTGTGCATTGGATAATCAGATTGAGGCAAGCAGGCCTTTAATGTGAGGTTCAATGTATTTGTATGTGTCAGAGGCTTCAATTTCCTTGAGTGTATTTTTTGTCTCTCCCCTACTGTCCTTGGTTCTTCTTATATGGAATCTCTAGCAAGTCCTTGTATGGAATCTGTGTCTTGCAGCTCTCTCCCTTGTAATTTACTGTTATTGTCCCACAGCCCTGTTGATGTGATGGTTGGGTCCTGGGAAGGGAAAACATTCTATAATATTACAAAGAGCTGAAGCTGGTTTGGCTCGGTGGATAGAGCGTCGGCCTGCGGACTGAAAGGTCCCAGGTTCGATTCCGGTCAAGGGCATGTACCTGGGTTGCGGGCACATCCCCAGTGGGGGATGTGCAGGAGGCAGCTGATCAATGTTTCTCTCTCATCGATGTTTCTAACTCTCTATCTCTCTCCCTTCCTCTCTGTAAAAAATCAATAAAATATATTTTAAAAATATATATATTACAAAGAATGTTTAAATTTCTTTTCTTTGTGGTGGGTGGACGTCCCTGCACGGGGATCTTCAGCTGAGAGACAGAAACTCTAGAGGGGAGTGGCGCTGACTAATCGCCTTTCTCAGCGTCAGATAAGACGTGGGTAATGCAGCTTCTCTCACGGTCTGGCCTGCCTTACAGACCACGGAGCGAGAGCAGATATCCTGGCTGTGGGTATGGCTTAAAATATTAACTTTGCTTCTCTTCCTGTTGAAGGAAGAAGGCATTTTTCTTTGATCTTCATACTGAGAACCTGGTGGGGCTCCACGAATGTGTGGGAGCCTCACTTTCCCAGAGTTTTTAAATCTCAAACTAGCCTCCACTGAGACTCTGATGACCTTCAATTAAGTCCAGGTGTTCCTGCCAGCACTGCTCCAGGGAAGCTGTGAGTCCGTGTCGCTCTCTGTCTCTCTAGTTTTGGGGGCAGTAGACGCCCTTGACCTCAATTCTCCCGTGGACCTCAGAGTAGTTGTTTTGCAGTGTATGTACTTCTGCCCTGGAGAAGTGATGCCTGTAACAACCCATAAAAGGTGAGGCATCCACTCACCTGCGATAAGACAGTAGCAACTGAACAACTAGAAGTCATGTCAGTCCACGGTGATTGCGTCACCCCGCCTGGGCATTGATAGTTGGAGCCAAGCCGGCTAGGGCTCTGACGTGCATGTTTAACTTAGAAACCGCCTAGTTATGCTCTTGCATTATAGGGGAGATAGCTGTATCAGACAGCCAATATAGCCAAATTATGGTGGTGAGATTTGAGACAGAGAAATTTCTAGAAAAAGCACATTAAATCGCTTGTCAAAAGTTACTGGGACTCCTGCACTGGCTTTTCTGTGTGTGCAGGCAGCAACTCGTGGAAGTTCTCAGCTTTCCTAACCGTGTGAGTCAATTCCTTTAACAAATCGCCTTTGGGCCCGGCCAGTGTAGCTCAGCGGTTGAGCACTGAGCCAGGAAACAAGAGGTCACTGGTTGGATTCCCAGTCAGGGCACATGCCTGGGTTGTGAGCTCGATCCCCTTGTGGGGGGCGTGCCGGAGGCAGCCGATCGATGGTATTTCCCTCTCATTGATGTTTCTATCTCTCTATCCCTCTCCCTTCCTCTCTCTAAATAATCAATAAAATATATTTTAAAAGAAATTTATGTAAATTAATTTAAGAAAAAATTCTCCTTTGGTCTATTTCTCTGGAGAACGCGAACAAACATAGCTTACCAGGTGTATTCGTTTCAGGCGTACAGCGTAGTGGTGAGACAGTTGTATACCTTGCAATGGTCTTTGTATCGAGGTCTGTGCCTCTGAAATGGGAACATTTGCACCAGGAGACGCAGAGAAAGCATCAAATATTGACCCAGGTTAAGAAGCCAGCAGTCAAGGAAAGCAATCACTAACCTGAGGGGGTGAGTGGACCCAAGTAGCCATCCACAGGTGAATGGTAGACAACATGTGGTCTCTACACACCATGTGAAGGTATTCATCCCTAAAGAGTGACTCTCTGCTCCATGCGACAACATTCATGAGCCTGGGAAACAGACACAAAAGGACAAATACTGTATTATTGCACTTACAGAAAATGCCTAGAAGGCGCAAACTCACAGAGAGTAGATTAACAGTTACTTTCTGTCTAGAGC